CCCCAAAACCCCAAAACCCCAAAACCCCACTCCTCTGCAGACACGTTGAAAATAAAATTAACACTTTATAATAATAAAATGGAAAGCAATAGCAAAGTTATTGAAGAAGAAAACGCCGGGATAATCAGGTAATTGTGAGCTACATTTTAGAGTGTTCTAAATTTTTATCTCCTAATTTGCTACAGGCTCTAAATTTTTTTAATATATAACTAAAATTCATCAACTTTTAAAACAAATTTATCGAAAATTTCTTTAGCAAGGCTAAATCTTCAATTGAAGATTGTTTGACAGTCTTATCTCTCTCAAACTTGATTTTTATCTCGATAAATTGAGTTTACTTCTGGATACTTAAACTTCAGACTTCTGAAACCTACAATTAACACTCTTTCACGGATCCAACTTAAACTTTCTGACGGATTCTGAAATGGATCTCTCTCCTTGTCCGTCTCTAATTGTGCAGTCTAGAGAAGTCTGTTCTGGCCAAAACCAAGAAACAAGATATAGCCAGAGCCCAGAGCATCCTCTATAAGATTTTTCAAGAGCAAAGAGAAATTCAGCCATTGGATTCAGACTCTGAAGAAGTTCCAAAAAATAGCGAAATTTACATTCATCCCTACAGCAGGGAAAGTGTGAAGCTTGCCCAAAGTTATAAGTACCTCAAGTTCTTTGATACACACTATGTTATTTTTCACGATATAGTTTCTAAAAATAGGCATTTTGTAAATTTCTTAGAATCCTCATTCCCAGATAAAATTAATATACTCTATTTTAAATCCGATTATAAAATGGATCGGAAGAGGTTCAATTACTTAAACTCCCTGGTCAGGATCAGTTCGAAAGTCCTTCAAAAAGCTTCATTTAATTCTTTCTGCATCGACTTCCCTTCCCTGAAGAGGCTGGTGGCAGCTTACAAACACGTTGGAGTGTTGGGATTGTGGGATTGCACGTTATCAATTCCAAGTGTCCCTGATTTCTCAAAAGCTCTTTCAAACTGCCAGATCCAGGTACTAGATTTAAATTGATCGGGAGGCTCTGATTGTAGTGACTGGGAAAACAACTTCGACGAGTTCAAGAACTTGGTCCAAGGATTAGCAAGTTCTCCAGATTTAAGGTTGAGTCTCGAAGAGGTAGATATCTGTGACTGCCTAGTAAACAAGGATGAAGCTGAAGAAACTTTTGAAGAAAACCAACTTGGAAGAGTTAAAATAATTGCTTAGATATTAAATTTGGCTAATTCTCTTTTATCTCATTTTGTTAAAATGGGTTACTTCTCCACATTTGACACTTGATGGCTTTTTAATATATTTTGGGGGATTTCGATTAAGTTGGGGTTTTGGGGTTTTGGGGTTTTGGGG